CGTCAAATAAAGCGCGGCGGCGGCGAGTGCGTGTAATTCACTCTCGAGTCGCGCTTCCGGCGCGATCAAAAACGCAGAACGTTGTGATTTCCCCTTTTGTGTAGGCAAATTCGTGATACACGGTGCATTATTATGCATCGGATTGCGTCGCACCGTGCAGCATTAATTACACGGAAAGTTTTTTTCTATTTTAAATCGGTGCGTGGGAAAAGCAGAGATTGTCGCGTGATTTGCATGTTTGGCCGCGATTAAAAATTTATTTGGTGTGAAAATTTAAGTCTCTGATTCTGCTCGGTAGTCGCGGTAATGATTTTACAATGCATAAGTTTAATCTTCTCCATCGCTCATTGATTCGCATTTTCATCAATGGTTTACGACTTTTGCCTTTTATAATAATCGGCGGGCCCAGGGATAACCACTCTATTTACGCTGCCGTGCACAATTTGATTTAAACCAATTACTCATTACTTTTTATATGTGTACTTATTAAAATTGAGTACTTCTTCAATCAAGACCGAAAATTCTTCCTTTTTGCAAGTGCAATAAATTTTGCAGGAGACTCGCGATTTTTATTGCAGCCACTTTTCAATTAGCAGCTCAAATTGCGTGGAAAGTCGGCGTGTTTTTTAGGGTCTGTCCGCCGACGCCGTGGACCACGACGAATGGGCATTCCTTTCTTCATTATTCAATTTTGACGTGTCTCGCACGTCGCGCCGAGGTGGCGGCGCCGAAAGCCGAAACTATGCAACGTGCCCGACACGTGCGTCCAACACGTGGTCGGAATTTTCACAAATATTTTCATTTCGCCGCTATTTTTTCTTATTTCCTTTCAATTTTGGTTTTGAAGAAAACTTAAAGTCAAGCCTTATTAGTAAAATAAATTATATTTTTTCTTTTTCTTTCATTTAAGGAGCAAATAAATAAAATTGAGTGACGCGAAATAAGAAAAAATTGAAAAAAATAGAATTATTCAAAATTAATGCAAGAAGATTTAAAATAATTTGTCAATTCCAGCAGCAGTTTTAATAAAATTTGAAATTAAAACGTCATTTTCTATTTTTGAACTTCAAAATTTTCGACAATTGATGTTAATTGATCCAATAAATTAGAAACAAAATTAAAATTTCACCTTAAATAACCTATATTGAGATTTTTCACCCTTATCATCTATTTTGGAAAACAAAATTTCACCTAAAATTGCCTTCTTCATGAAAATGGCTAAAAAAATAAAAATAGCCTAAAACTCACTGTTTTGATAGGAAAAATGGTCATTGAGACTAGAGAAGATTGCGTTTAATTTCCGGTTATCTGAGTGGAAAGAAGCGTGTCTCTCGTAATTTTGGTCAGCAGAGTGCGAAACGCGCGTCGAGTTCAGCATGAGGGACACCCCGCCATCCATGTCCACACCACACTGTATGGGCGGCGATTTTTATGGAGCCATCGCACTAGCTTTTGTGCAGTGAGTGCGTTTTGGCGTTGAAACCAAGAGTGGGTGCGATCGCAACTCCTCAAAACAAATATTGGCCTAGGTCGGCGCGAGAGGCAGTTAGCAGGTCCAGCTCGGCGTATCCATCTGGATCACATCACTTTGTGCGGCCGAATCGATTGTCCGAACACGACACACGTGCCTGGTGCTCAGCACCGCAGCAGCCACGCTTTTGCTTCTTCGCCACCCTCGTCTAGACTTGTTGCTTCTCCTCATCAAAAAATCCTCTCTTAATTTAACAGCAAAAATATCCACAATCGCAACAAAATTTTAGTTGATTCAATTTTTCTCCGTCGAACGTATTTTTTTTTTAAAAAAAAAAGCATTAAATTTATTAAAACCTGTTTAAAATTATAAAATGTATCCTATGTTATAATTTAATTAAATAAAAATAAGTTAATAAACTTCATTTAAAATAATTGCATTAATTTATATTGTATTATATCTGGATATACTGTATGTTTATGTTGTACACGAAAGTGTCTAATAAATTTCTGATGATGATTAATTTATATGGAATTTCTTTTGACTTGATTTTCTGATCCATCATTTTAAGTTGTTTATTTGATTCTCACATGCTAAATTTTGGCATCAAATTGAACTAACTCATTTCCATGTTTCCAGGAATTTCAAATTCAAAATGTAAATTACGCAGAAAAGATTAATTTTTTTTAAATTTAAGGCATTTTTGGCGGTGAATAATCAAATTTGATTTATTTACTTTAGCAATCTAGTGTGAAAAAATAAATCTCTGTAAATTTACATAAGAGAAACAATTTTATTCCATTTCAAAGGCGTTCAGGCCGAACACTAGAGATTTATTTTTGATAATCTATAAACAATCAAAGAAACGAAAATAAATAGCGGAACACCCTGAGCATCTCCGCAGCTCTGAAGGAGAAAAAGGAGAGCAGTCGCCTGTGCTCTTTCATTGTGAAGCGCGCGTTATTAATTGTGAGGCAATTGGAGAGCGCAAACAATGGGATTTATTATTGATTTCTATGTAAAACAATGCAGGTGGTCCGCGCGCGCGGCCTTTTTCAATTCTTTCCGTTGTTTGGCCATCGTTAGCTTTTATATATTTCTTCTGTTCGCCATTGCGCCACTTTGTATATAGATTACGAAATTGTACATACGAAAAAGAGAGGCGAGAATTCTTTCCTCGCCTCGGGCCTCCTCCTCCACAAGCAAACAAAATAAAGTTCAATTTCACTTCTGCCGGCTTGAAAATCGTTCAAAATAATTCTCAAAACTAGCAAAATTGAATTAAACCATTATTTTAAATTATTTAAAAATATTTTTAATTGTTTCATAATAAAAAGTTAAATTTTGATTTTCAAATTTATAATTTTTCTGGCTCCAAACTTTCGTTTGATTTATTCTTCTTCAAAAACCTCTCGTATATCAAATAAATTTTCTAAATAATAAAATTCTATTCTCTGAAATTATTTGTAACATTTCTATTCACTTTTAATTAGATTTAATTATTTGAATGAAACTAATATTTGAAATCTTCCTGATGGAAATAAAATTGAATAACGTAATTTTCACAGCCTCTGAAATTAGGAAAAAAAATGCCTGTCCATGAAAGCAAGTTGGATTTGGCAGACGGAGAGTGTCGGCTGCGGTGCATTTGTTTTGCATGATCAGTCGCGAGCCCCAGAGAGCAGCTCGCTCGGTGATTAAATGTCACATGAGCGTGACAGATGCGATAAAGCGCCGTGGATAGACATCGCTTTTCGATACATAATGTATTATTCTATGTACATTTCCTACCCGGTGCAGCAGCGAAAAGGTACTGCTCTGATTCGCGCCAATCCGCGCCATAGAAAGCTTTGTTTTTCAGCGCAGCCGTGATTTTATTTTTACCTTCGTTTTTGCCACCTTTACCGTTTTCCTCAAAGGTGAGAAGTGGAATAAATATAATGTTCCTTTTTTAGCTGCAAAGTTCATCAGATTGGAAATATGGATTTGTTTTTTTTTTTTGACGAGGATAAATACAAATAAAATCAAGTTTAATAAATAAAATCTTTAAATCAAAGGATTTAAAATGAATCACAGAACTGGAAAACATTTTTGAAAAGGAAAATTTGGTGTTTCAAACTTGTGAAAAAGCATCATTAATTGAAATTTGCACAGACAAACTAAATTGTTTTATAATTCACGCTATAAACAGTAAAATTTAAATCTTTATACATCAACTCATTAACTTAATTAGATTTAAAACAATCAACTAGCAGTTTTTCTTTTTTATTTCACGATAATAATGAATAGAAAGTCATAATTTTTATATAATAATTAATTGCCTTTAAAAATCTCGATGCAATATTTCAATAATTGTTATTTATAAAAGTTTCACAAGTCTCTTTGTAAAATGGTTTGTTTGTAACATTTGATGACCTCATTAGCTAATTGCAAGCCATGAGAGAGATGATTTTATAAATTATTGTTGTTTGCGGTGCGAAATGGCTCTATTTCCCTGTAGAAAGAACCAATAACAAACGGTGCAACTCGGAAACGTGAGAGAGGCTTTAATTACACTAATAAAGTTGGCTAGACCACATATTAGCCAAGTTGTTTACTTTATTGCCGCTGTCCGCACGGATGCAGCTCGTATAAATTTATTTATGTATCAAAAGAAAAAAATCGAGAGACTTTAATGATTGGGCTAATTAGCTGCATTTATTATTTTCCTCCAACTCTATGCAATCGGCCCAAACTGTCCTTCGTCATAAATAATTAGTATAAATTATTTAAAATTTAGAACAACTTCAATGTCAAAGCACCCTTTCAGAATAAAATTCAAAATAAAATATCAACGGGAATAAATTTTTTTAAGATACCAGCAGGCAATAAACCGTTTCAAGAGATCCAGGTTAGTTTGAACAATTTTTATGCATCTCTCACAGGTGCACTCGTAAATACGTGTCTGATATTTTTATTCTGGATCATCGGCCCCTATTGAGACGCACTGCATTTTTTAACACTCTGCATTTTAATTTATTATAACGTGTGCCCAGTCGGAGAAAACCTGTTTCGGCCTTACTGAATGTCACCGCATTTGATGACGAAACTAATTAAGTTCGAATTGGTTTACGCGGGTATTTGATGAACTCCGAGGCACGGGTCTTTGATACGTATAAAACGATCAGGTGTTTATCAACCTCACTCTAGAGCAAGAAAATATATTCAAATTTGAAGAGTTTCTGTTTTATGTTTCAACTTTACTTAGGCACTGATTGTGATTATAAATTTTCTAGAATCAAAGAAGTGGTAGCGCCGCTGAATTATTTATTTGATAGAAAAAATTAAGTTCCAAATTGTTTCATCCTATCATCAGCGCAAGAAAAAAAGTATAAAATGTATCAAAACGGAAGTGTCCGCGCATCAATGCAACCAAAATCTCAGAGAGTAAAAACGATTGTTTCACAGGCCGAGATGGTGTCGGCGGCAAAAAGTGCAGGATAAAATACCACCGGGGGTCTGAAAAAGAGAAGTGCAGCCGATACATTACCTTATTTTGTGTCTGTCGACAGGAAGTGGTCAGAGCGCGGGAGTCCTGCTTGCTTTTCCCTCAGCATCTGAAAAAAAAGTGGAGCGTCAGTGACCGGCCTTGAAAAAGCACCACGGAAAATAAATATAAATAAACACCCCAGAAAATTGTGGTTCATTATATGTGCGGTGGTGATTAATCATCATCGCAGCAAAACGGAGTGAATTCAATTTCAATCAAACAAATGGCGGAGAGCGAGACGATTTTGTTGCTGCCACTTTAGATTTTTTACTGAGCAGCCGTTTCATATAATTTATATACCTGGCTTGGTCCGCAGCAGACATTGAAATACCGCTGGAAACATATGATTCGTATTTCCACAATATTCAATCTCATCGCACTGACCGACAATGAGATCAAGATGAAACGGCAGTTTATATAAATTGAAAGCCAAATCTCCACGAAAGATGATGAGGATCGAAAATATTAATTGAAATTTATAATATTGCTTGTGAAAAGCTGCATTTACAAATTATTTAATAAACTAAAAAAATAGAAAATTTGCAATTTTGCACTTCAGGTTGGAACAATTTTTACAATCAGAAATTATTTTAAATACTCAAGAGTTTTTTCTAAATAAATTACAAATTTTGAATATTTTGTTTAAATGCAAGAATAACATTTCTTTTTAGCCAATTTATAAAAAAATCAATAATAATTTTAAGGAAACTGAACATATTTATTGATTTTTCCACTATATCCATCAAAATTAATTATAAAAAAAATGAGCAATATCAGAAATTGAAATCTAGAATTAATAAAAAATTATACCAATTTACAAGTAACAACAACTGCGAATTTGTGTATACGAAATTTCAAGAACGCGCAACATCTGCCTTTGCTCAACATATTGACAGGATAAAAGAAACCGACAGATTTGAAACCATATTGTGTGTTTTATTTGGAGACCTTCTGCCGCGCTCAAATCAAAATTTCGCCGTAATTTTTTGCTCGCTTCCAGCAGCGCAGGAGCAACTGGGACGCGTATCAAGATTTTTGCCACTCAATGATCGGGATACGAAATCTCATTATTGCAGCAGGAGTAATGAGCGAAAATGAAATGGATGATTGTGTTGGTCGGTCGGTCGGCGGCAGGTGCAGTCTCGTGCCGTACCCGGACCGCGCTCCAAAAGTTATTTTGTGTTAAAAATAAGAGGAACCTTTTTCAGGCAAGCATATGGCACGCAAACAACCAAACACACGCGTCTCGCGAGCGTTTCTTCAGATAAAAGGTGAGTCAAATTGCCGCCCTGCAATTTGGCGCCGGACAGCAGTTCGGCGGCTGTCGATGCAATTTTCGGTCAGTTGTTAAGCCGGTCAGATGAGAAAAAACAAATAACTGACCAAGGTGAAAAACAAAAGAACTTTATCTTCCATTTTCTGGATTTCTCACTTAAAAATTTGCTCAAAATACTATTTATTTGGCTATAAATTGAATAAAAAACTTGCTAATAGATTTCACCGTATATTTGCTTTAAAAATTGATTACAATTAATGAAATTTCCCTTTTAATTATTTAAAAGTACTGAGCTTGAAGTAAAGTAACATGTAAATCAGAAAGTCAGAGTACACATAAAAATTAAGGAAAGGGTGAAATTTTCTTAAATAATACAAAATTAAACATTATCAGAACAAATTTAAGATTAAAATGTGTCATATCAAATATAAATTCTTGTATTAGTCAGCGTTTTGCTTAAGAAATAGGTTCGCAGACCGTGACTGATTGTGAAAATTGTTGAGTTGTTTTTGTTCTTAATTAAATATTTTCAACAATGACGCAGAGCTCTCGTTTTTAACTTCAATTTCATTATTAATTATTGATAAATATATAACATTTTTTTTTTTTTTTTTGGTAGAGTTTTTCTTGCACTTTCTGTTTTAAGTAGTAAAAATGTAAGCAGCAAGAGACAGGTCTGCTTCATGCTCTTTGCTGATCAAAGGTTTGTCGACAGACACCATGGTATATTTTTTTTATCGCCTCTCTTTTATTCTGTCCGCCGTCTGTGGACGTCTCGGCGGCCAAATCGATCCGAGAGCAACTTTCCCTTCCAAGGGTTAATCTCCGCGACGAGGAAATCTCGACAACATTTGTCTCAGGTATAAACAGGGAGGCCCACCTGCGGCGTGTGTGTTTTTCAGGAGTGTATTTTAATCTCGGCAAGCTGCAGCCGAATTCGGGAAAATTGCTTACTCAGCACAATAAAGATCACGCCGCGCGACATAATTGGGTGTTGACGGACGATCAAAGGGCAGCGAAATTACAATGATTACTCGGCCACCTCGGAGCCTCAAATATATACACAAATCCGGCTGCAGCCACTTTTGCGGTTGTTGAATCGGCCAACGTGTGTGTCATGAGGCCAGGCCGCGTTCAAATCATGAGCCGCGCAATTAGATCGAGAGGTGGAAAAGAGAGAGAGAGAAATCAAAAAGATCGAATCCTCTCCTCGGGCAGCAATTTCGGCAAACTATCGGTCAATTTATCAGCTCACATACAGCAAATAATTGTTCATCAAAATATCCAGGAGAATATTTTTTTTTTTAAATTAAACGATTTTTTATGGCAGAAGTCAAAACAATTATATAATCGAAAAAACCATAAATATAATCAGAAAAATGATGAAAAAGTTATTATTAAAATTCAAAATTTCTAAAATATGTTTAAATTTGATTTAATGTGGCAAAAATTTACAATTATATCTAATTATTTCTAAGAGATAACACTTGTTGCTAGTCCTACTGAAAAAACTTCCGCTTCCTGTTAAATTTTAATGTTAGGACTTTTCTTAAATAAATTCTTTTGAAGAAAACACGATTGATTTAATATGAAAATCCAATTTTTAACAATAAGTCTTCTATTTCATATTTGATAATTTATCAAACAATTTAAAATTTTATAAAATTTAATAACTAAAAAACATTATTTTACAAAAAAAAATGGTTAATATAACAGATTATTTAAAAAATATTTATTTGTATCACTTTTTATTGCTGTAAAACTTGTACAAGTTGAAAATTATCAGCCTTGTTGTTCGTTTGACTAAAAATTTAACAAATAGTCACGGAAGGACTTAATATTTTAGGTCGGATTGAAGAAAAACAGTATTTTGCGCAAATGCACATCGCCAATCTGAGCAAAATCAGTAATTTATTGGTTTCTCGATATAAATGGTCCAGATGAAAAAAAGCGAGTTAGCAGTTTTATATTATTAAGCACGGCAGAGATTAATCGCGAATATTCTCTCCCTCCTTTTTATCACCTCGGCAAACGTGCGCCTTGTAATTTAAGCGCTGTCGTTATCGAAGCCGAGAATCCCGCACTCTGCATACATTACAAATTTTTCACGTGCGATGTTTCGAACGCTCTCGTCAGATTTATATTTATTTATATTCCGTTGCGAGCGATGGATCTGCCGCGATAAAACTAGAGCACGTCTCTCTGCTCTGCCCGATTTCGCCGCATTAAAATAAAAATATATATTTTTCCCGGCCCCACCACCGCGCGCGGAGCCCAACTTTAATCGGAGTCATGAATCAATACACAGCAGAGACTGAGCTGCGGCTTATAACCTCCATTTGAGCGCGGCCGGACAGATAAAACGCACACTTAGATCAGTATTGTGTGTGTTGAGCACACTCAAGACATGATTTATTTACACGCCGAGTTATAATAAAACGCAAACACATGGAATGAAAATCTTTGATCAATTTGGGTCTCCTAATGAAGTTTCCAGGACATTAAAAGAGCTATTAGAGAATGAGAGATTGTGGATTAAAGACGGAGACGCGGAGAATATGAGAGAGAATTAAGTTTTCTACAGATTGATGAAGTTTTTTAATCAAAAGCACAATAAATATAAATCCTGAAACGTCAATTTTGGATTGAGAGACAAAACAAACAATATAATTCATTCCAACACCGATTGAATTGATTAGTTTTCAGAAATAAATTTCCTGTTTTATTCAATTCTGCGGAAACTTCAGATATGTAAATCCTGCTAAAATAAAAACTTTTGATGATGATTTTTCTAGAAACTTTAGCATTGGTTTGAAAATGCTTTCAAGGAGACGTCATAAGAAAAAGTAAAGAGCAAACTTTGAAAATTTAGATTGTTTCTTATGGGAATTTTCTCAAAAGTAGCCAGATCAATATTGATTAAAATCTCATAAATTCACGTTCAAATCCCCCCAGTTAAGAAGCTCCTTGATAATCACACAGAATAAATTAATTCATAATTGATGATAATTTATATTTATTTGCAAATTCATTCATTTTAATTGTAAATTTGAGTTTAAATCTTTCACTCATCCTTTGACTAAAAAATTTGAAAATCAATCATTTTTTCAGTTATAATTCACAATTTTTCGCAGCAATTCAATCGAGCTTTTAGTGCAGACAGGATAATAAACCTCAACAATAGCGAATTAGTGCCGGAAAGTCATCATTTTCGATCTCCTTGCATCTCGTCGGGACATATCAAAAGTGATATTGAAATATCAATTACCGGGCAACGGTTAAGCGCTGACGAAATCGGGGGTCGGCGGCGGCGTCCGCAAAGAATAAAGGCGGAAAAAATGGATTCGTGTCCGCGCGGCGATCGACAGACTAGGGTGCGCCTATAGCTCCTGCAACAATGTACAATAAAAGCCAAAATAAAACACGTACATAGGAGGAAAATGAACATTTTTAATGCACCGCGCGCGCATTGTGTCCGCACAATGGGAGCGTGCAGGAAACTTTGCATTAGCCACGGACTTCATTTGGTTTTCACATTTTCATTCGCACCGACGGGATATAAATAGTGTTTTGTGTCCGCGGTCGGAGAGTCAAGTACACTCGCACAAAGCGCTCAGCTTCTATAATTCTAATTCCATCCAGAATTAATAAATTTTTAACACAAGTTTTTCTTTTCAGCATATAATAGACCTTTTTCATTAAGGCAACAATGGGAATCGCAGGCACAAAAACAGCACTTTTTGGAGGTGTCAAAACGCGACGTTCCGTGCTTCCCGACGTCTTTCTCAGGTCAGTGGTCACCAAATCGCAAAAATCTGGGCATTTTCGGCATCCTCATGAAACGAGCTTTCCGCCGGTGTGCCGTTTTTCGCTCCGAACAGTCGCGTTCTTTTCAAAGCTCAGAGATACGACCAAGAATTTTTTTCAAAATTTGACCGTTTTCAAACGCAAATTTATCCCAGAATTCTAAATTGACACGCAATAAAATGCACACCGATGGAAAGCTCGTTTCTTCTAGATTCAGAATCCTGAAGCGCGCACCATTCCTTTGAGTTTTCCCTATCTCTTTTTGTCCGAGAAGCACCCCTCCTCCGGCCCTTTTTGCGTCAATTTTGATTGTTGATTGCGACTCGGTTGAACCCTGACCCGGGCCACGTCAGGTCAAAAATATATAATGAAAAATTAATGAAAATCAATAAAAAGTTGGAAAATAAAAGTTAAAGAGCTGCTTGAAATAACTATTTCAATGCCATAATTTATTTCACACGGACGCCTGAGATATAAAAGGGTTTGTGAGGAGTGCTCCCATTTCAATTGTGATTTTTTTAGAAAGAAAAACTTAATACAAAAGTTGTAGCTAAAGACATGTTCTTTCTTTGTGCAATAGTCTATGTGTCTGTAGAAAAATTTTATAATTGAGTAAAAATTGAAGAAAATAAAAATTTAACTTTTTAGACACGAAGAAAATTTTTAAGATTTTTTTGAAGATAGCCAATCGATTCAGCATGTCTTCATTAGTCTATGACTAAATTTTCGTAAATAAATTCGCAACACTTGCAAAGTAATTGCAAAATTTTTGCCGGCACCTCTTTCATTTAAAAACAGAGACACGACCCTTTTGATTATTTTTGCAATAACTTTGTAAGTGTTGCGAATTTATTTACGAAAATTTAGTCATAGACTAATGAAGACATGCTGAATCGATTGGCTATCTTCAAAAAAATCTTAAAAATTTTCTTCGTGTCTAAAAAGTTAAATTTTTATTTTCTTCAATTTTTACTCAATTATAAAATTTTTCTACAGACACATAGACTATTGCACAAAGAAAGAACATGTCTTTAGCTACAACTTTTGTATTAAGTTTTTCTTTCTAAAAAAATCACAATTGAAATGGGAGCACTCCTCACAAACCCTTTTATATCTCAGGCGTCCGTGTGAAATAAATTATGGCATTGAAATAGTTATTTCAAGCAACTCTTTAACTTTTATTTTCCAACTTTTTATTGATTTTCATTAATTTTTCATTATATATTTTTGACCTGACGTGGCCCGGGTCAGGGTTCAACCGAGTCGCAATCAACAATCAAAATTGACGCAAAAAGGGCCGGAGGAGGGGTGCTTCTCGGACAAAAAGAAATAGGGAAATCTCAAAGGAATGGTGCGCGCTTCAGGATTCTGAATCTAGAAGAAACGAGCTTTCCATTGGTGTGCATTTTATTGCGTGTCAATTTAGAATTCTGGGATAAATTTGCGTTTGAAAACGGTCAAATTTTGAAAAACATTCTTGGTCGTATCTCCGAGCTTTGAAAAGAACGCGACTGTTCGGAGCGAAAAACGGCACACCGGCGGAAAGCTCGTTTCATGAGGATGCCGAAAATGCCCAGATTTTTGCGATTTGGTGACCACTGACCTGAGAAAGACGTCGGGAAGCACGGAACGTCGCGTTTTGACACCTCCAAAAAGTGCTGTTTTTGTGCCTGCGATTCCCATTGTTGCCTTAATGAAAAAGGTCTATTATTAACCAATGAAACAATTTGTTTAATATTTTAAAATGTTACAAAATATTAATTATGTTCTGTTCTATCAAAATTTCCGGCGCTTTATTTTTTATCAAAAAGGAAGTTTAAGAGACCATAGACGTTAAAATATTTCCCAGGAAAAGTCATTTTATTACATTAAATTCACTGAAATTTCTTTATAAACTGAAGCTCAACCCACCGAAAAAAAATTAAAATAAATAATTTTGCTACTTTTTAAATATACTTAGGAGTTGCAAGGATAATTTTCAGGGCCTGCAGAAAATCATTCCAAACAAACTAAACAATAAGATTATTCTATCGCCATAATTGTCGATTCTATATATTCTTAATATATTCCAGAAAAAGAATTAATATTGCTAATATTAATATTAATATTAAGGCCAAAATTTAATTATCAATTTAAATTCCATGCAATTGGAACTTCAGTGACATGTTAATGTGAAAAATGCCATACTGGAATTCCCTTAATGTCACCTTCTGCCTGATTGTCAGCGGGCTTTTAGAACGCAAATTGCATTTTGAAAATAATAATTGTCAAGGGCTGACACATGAAACGGAATTTATTGAGCGCCGTATAAAAGGAAGTTTTGAACAGCACGCGACACTGCACTGAACTTCCGCGCAGACGATAGGAAATGTAGTAAATAAATCAAAACTTGCAAAGTCGCCATTTATTAATTGTACGTGTAGATTCACAGACGGTGGAAATTAATGCGCTCTGCTGGAAAATCCTACAGAAATCATGCTAAGCAAAGCAAAAATATTTGCAGCTTCATATTTATTAATACTTTTGGCTTTCCAGGTCTGTAAAATAATTAGTATTATCAGAAATTCTAAAAATTCTATCATAGTTTCCGCTTTCTGAACAAAAACTGGATCGCAATACACTTAAAAGTAAGCACAGTTATAATCACAATGCATATGATTGCAATTAATTGAATATCTTCACAGATGGGCGCATAATAATTGTTAAATGTTGCGGGAAGTACTTATGCACTCCAACCAAAAATACACAAGTATAATATTTTTTTTCCTCTGAAAAATACATTGATTGTTCCAAATTTACAGAACAGAACTACAAATTCAAAAATATTGACGACTTTGAGGAAAGGAATGAAGCCTACTGCCTTAGATACAGAAAGCCAACAAACCTTCAGTTCTACGGAGAGTGGATTTTCTGAAATGATCAACATTGATTCTGGAGAGACAAGCACCGAAATGATTGACACGTCAACACTGAGCAAAGATGCAGCAAGTGGGTTTACAGCTGGAATGCCCAATGTTGATGCTGGTGGCACAAATGCCAACATCATTGACTCAACTTCAGCATTTTTGGATCAAAGAACTTCTGACTTAGGAAACCAGAGTGGCCTTAACGAATCTTTGGGTCCATTGCAAGTTGCTCAGCAGCAATCAGGGTCTTCTCTCAAGGATGATCTGAGCACAACATCATCCCAATATTCGTCATCGATACAACCTGTGGAACAATTAATTACAACCCTTTCCCCTATGGAAACGCTGCAACCACCGACAAATCCACTTCAATCAACAAATACAACTTCAATGTCATCAAAACCAGCAGCAAATCTGATGCCAACAACAGCAATAAAACCTATTACATCAACAGCCAAGCCAACTACAGTAAGTTGTCAACAGATCATACTTTTTAGTTTTGAATACATTTTTATTCCTTAATCACCTTCATAAATATAATTTCAACAGGTAAAAATGGGAACTGTTTGCTCGCAAGATATACGAGTCAGCAAAAATGTAATTAAAAAATTTCTTACTCAAACATTTAAATAAATAATATTTGGCCAGGAATCTCTCTTTGATGCAAGTGGAAATCTAATAAGTATTTTTAATTTTAGATGTAATTATTTTAATATTTTAAATATTCTTATTTTTAATATTTAGATCCAAAGAGTTACGGATTCTGGATGACAATTAATAACGAGCTTTATTTGTGGGGACGGAGAATCGTGAGCCTGCCAGAGCCTCATTATTTTCACATGAATCACAATTATTTAAAGGGAACTTGGCTTGAAAACGCTGGCATGTGCTTTGATTTAGAGATGCAACCGGTGATTTTCAACACGGAAACTACATTCGCTCTGTTCGATAAAATGGCAGGTGAGGGTTCAGAATAATTTATAATTTTTATGATAATAATTTTCTATAAAAAGGAAAATGGAAATACAATGTCAACTATTGGATGGGGGCTAGAGGGACAAAGGGAAAGTATTCCTGGTGCGCTGAAAATCCCCTGCCGGTTAAATTCGGGTGGGGCTTGAATCAGCCGGAAAACCAGGAATGCGTCTACATGAATTTCAACAGACACAAAAAATCGGCAAATTTCTTCACGGAAACTTGCAAGTCGTTGTTTTTTATGGCGTGCAAGGTTAATTTGAATTAAAAAATGAATAAAAAAATTAAATAAAACATTAGGGAAAACCCACGCCGTCCCCAGCTCCAACAAAGCCACAAATTGAGCCATATGACTGCATAAAGGATGTAAAATTTTATGTTTTCAAAAGATTAGATAATAAAATAATAATTTAGGACTCTCTGTTTGTAGCAGATAAAGGTGGCTGGTCAACTGGAGTTTTGAAAAGTTTGAAAGAATTTATGTACAGATTTATAATTTTTATCATTATCTTTTTAGATCAAGACAAACTGGGCGCGTGGACGTCAATCGCTGGCAGACTCTTTTTGCTCAGCAACAACCTCGACCAAAAAACAGTCGATAGATTTATTTTAATTTTATCTTTTACAAAATAATTTCAGTACAAAGAAGCTATTTCTGCGTGTTGTGCGATGGGCTTGGAGTTGGTCAACGTCAACCAAAACCATTTCTATCAAAATCTAGCGCCCAGTAGGATTTATTTACTATAAGATTTGGAATTTTTTACATGTTTTGTGCAGATAATAATGGCAAGTTCTGGACGGCGGGCACCGACCAAGGCAGCGAGGGCATTTTCGGATTCGCCCCTGACGCGATCCTTATTGACAAATCCATCCCTTGGGCTGATGGACAACCAGACAACAAAGGCGGAAATGAAAACTGTGCGTCTGTCACGATGAACGGAGGCAAAGCCACGTTCATGGACGACGATTGTGGCCTTAAATTGAGGTACATTTGCACCGCACAGGACGCGCGCCTGCAACTCTCGGCAGGCAAGCAAATGCAAACCGAGTGTGCCACGATCTTCAACATTGACGAGAGTATAAAATATTTAAAATTACTTGAATTATTTTTTAATTATAAATAATTAAGGTAAAATCAACGCATTACTCAATCAGGACGTGGGATCTTTTTCAAACGACTTTAAAGTGAATTTAAAAATTAAATCAAAATAATTTTCTAAAATAATAATGAAATTCTTATGCCATATTTCAGTGTTTCTTAAAATGTATGGGAGAAGTATCAAAAATGGTAACAATAAAAAAACAGATTTAAAATTTAATCAAACTGATTTTGCCTGCTTGAAAAGTACGTCAACGGAATATTGGTGGAAAACAAAGTTTTACGCATGATCGAAGCCATGTATCGCGGCGATCCTACAAAAATGAAATCCTCGATTGAAAATATGGACATCTGCGCCAATCTTGGTGAAAAGATCTTTAAACGCTACATTTTTATTTTATATTAAATTATTGCAGCTGGTTCAAGTGAGTGTGATCGAGCGGCGAAAATAGAGAAATGTGGTATAGAAAAAGATCCAAATTTGGTTGACAATTTGATACAAGCGTCGTCAGTTTCTGCAATGGAAAGGGTATACGAACAATAATTATTTTAAATTTTAATGCAAATTAATTCAAAATTCAATTTAGAATGATATTATTCTTGATCCGAAAATCCCTTGGTGCCCGGAAACGGCGTGCGACGTTGATGTTTATTTGCAACGATTAATAAAATTGGATTAATTAACTTTTCATTTCTTTTAGGAATTCAAAATGATAAATTTCAAAAATGGAAGTCAGTATTTAATAATAATTGAGTGTTTATATTTTTTTTTCATTGAAAAAATAGATGTTCCTAACAAGGTCACGGTTTGTGGAAAGACATATCTATATCTGCAGGCTCAAGTTGGAAATAAAGTGTGAAAGTTGAGACTTTAAAGTAAAATTTTAATTGAAAGAACTTAAAATCAGATGGACTTTAAAAGTGCAGTTACTATTTGCTGTGCTTACGGCCTGAAAGTCTTGAACTTGTTGAGCGCCACCGAGTTCAATTGCTTTGAAGCGTCAGCTTTTGGTAGGAAATTTATTTGTTAAATTTTTTTGATTACGCTAAAATTAATTTCAAAGCCAAGAGTCTCGGTAAGAAATCCGTTCACACCGGAGTGTCCGCGATAATATCACCGACTGGAAATAGATTCAGAAACTGCATGGACGGTCAGAAACCTTTCACCGAGTTCCAAAAAGTGTTCATAGAGCCAGGCTCGTCTCAAGTCAAAGTCTTGATAAATGGAGCTTCCAGCAGATTCATGCTGAACAATACCATGTCAGAAGTTATTTGCGAGGAGTAGAAACTGGTCATTTCCAAGCAATACAAAAATAAGCACAATTATCGTCAAAAAATAAACAAACTTGAGGGAGTTGAAGAAATAATTAATTCGTTTTTATGTCAACAAAATACTTAATAAGAAATTTGAATTTGACAGTAAAATATAATCCATTTTGGCTGATATTTTCAAACACGATATGGAATAAGTTTTATTCTTTCGATTTTCCTTCAACAAGCCCAATGAGTTTCTGTTTTATCACTTGCGGAGGAAAAGGCCGCATAAATCAGTCGAGTGGAAATTGAAACGTAGCGTTTTAAGTGAAACATATTTCACTGCGAAAAAGAGAAGAATAATATTATTTTAAAATGCATTTCGAGTCAGTCGGGTTATGTTAATCTTGAGCTCAATATTTTGTGTCATCGGCTGGAGTTTTATTGCTGCGACCAAGCGATTAATATCCTGCGCTGCTAAAGGTCTCTTTTATCTCGGCGGGAACAGAGTTTTAAAGACGTATTAAAACGCAATGAATATTCAAATGTCAAAAAACCAGGATGCAGTTTTCAAAACAACATTAGATTAAATTTATAAAAATTACTTTTATTGAAATCATAATAATTGGAAGAAAGTCTGAGGTTTTTCAATTTCATATTAAAATTTCTACCTCTTGACAATTCTTTTAATAAGAGTTCGCATCCTGATGCATTTAATTATTTTTTCTTTACTTCAGAGGGAAAATAATAAGCTCTCGGTGCAAATGAATGGCCGGCTTTTGCAAAACATTATATTTTCATGTTTGTGCGCGGCGATCATGTAAACAATAAAAAACACAAGTATAAATATTGCATCGCTTATAATGTGATCAGCCGCGCTGTAATTATTGCAACTTCAAACGCCGCCGACGGTGTTGTACATCAATTCGATGTAACGTGCGTGCGCGTTTATTGAATATGTTTGTGCATCTCGGTGGTAATTAATGTGCTTGTTTTCCGCCGTACCTTGCAATAGTTTTTTCCTTTAAATAAAGTACACAAGAGATATTGAAATAAATATGCGAAATCTCGCTTTCGTTTGAAGTTCAAAGAGAATCGCGATTGTAGAGAAATTTCTGCTCGAAAGTAATATTTTTTTGGAAAATTAAAACAACACTGCTCGTTAAAATTCATTTATAAAAAATTGTTGATACGGATAATGACAGGTACGGCACCAATTTGGAAATGAACGCAATAATAATAACGATCCTCCCCCTAAGCAATTTCAAAGAAGGACGATGATGCGTCGGAAAGAGATCAATTTTGAGTCTCGATATCGAGCGCGCGAGGATAAATAAACGCTAATCACGGCGGCGGTCCGGCTGAATGAGAGAGATGGAAAGAGTTGCAGGTGCTTGGTACGTACGAGAGGTAAATAATAAACATTTTTTGCCCCACAAGCGTTTCCCATTTCTTCCATTCCGGCCGTGCGTTTTTTGTCCGATATATTGACAAAATCGGCCGCCGAAGCTGAATGGACGTAAAATCAATATGTATGTAGAGGCAGCTCTGGTGTGTTGAATCCGTTAATGCTGCATGAAATGATTATTTGTGGTATTCAGCATGTGGAGTGCGAGTTAAAGCGTGAGAGCTCTCGATCGCCTCTATTATTGTGTAAGACTGTGGGAAAACCGATATCGGCGCTGACGATCCTCAACATGATGTACAAATTTCGGCAGCTGCTTGATTAACTTTATTATTGCCACACTTTTTGCCCTCATACATCGCCAATCACCACCTTCGGCGGAGACACTCGGCGCATAAATTGGCTATTGTTGACCGTGCATGGCTTATTTATCCAAATAAGTGTTTGGCAAAAAATTAATTTCTTTTGAAATTTACAAGATATTTTTGAATCAATTATTCATGTTTGATATTTCAATTATTATAGAATATTTTACCTTTGAAACTAAAATAAGTTGTGATTTTATTAGCTTCGTTATTTTTGACTTCAGGTTTAGCAAAATTAAGTTTTCACCTTTTAATTGAGCAAAAAATTCTACTCAAAATTTTAGATTACTTATGAGTTCTTCGTGGAAATTAACCTCACTTTATTGAATTTTTTTAAATATATCACAATTTAATTAGCATAATGATTCATTTATTACAAATATTATTTCTTGATTTTTTAATATTATTAAGAAGAGAGTAAATTTATAAAAATCTTCTTTTTTATTTAATTTTGTTTTACTTTGTGTCATTTTGTCTCTTTTTATTATTCAATAATATGATTTAATAAAAAAATGTGTAAAAAGAATCAACATTAATAAAATAAAAAGCTCAGAATAACTAAAAGCTTATATCTTATTGACAGACATTTCTTGTAAAAAGATAACAACAACATTTAATTAAAATTCAAATTTATAGAGTTTCAAAAAGCCTTTAGCAATTTTGATTAATTTCAAAATTAGTTATAGTCGGAGAAAATTTATATTTTCAAACGATTAAAGGCTAAAATGAACCTGTATTTTAAATATAAATAAATTTTGCAAGAAAATAACATAATAAATTGCTAATTATAAACCGAATTTTTACTCTAAATTTAACTGATATTAAAATAAAATTAAAGCTCAATTTATTTGCATGTATGAACATTAAATTCTCCCAAATATATTATTTTGAAAAGTTTAATATAAGCAAAGAAGCTCAATTTAAAGACGCAAAACACATAAAATAATTTATTTTACTTCAAATTAGGATTACATTTCTCATTCAAAATAAAATTTTCCCAAGTGAAACAATCGTCCTTGCTTGTTTTAGAATCGATTCGCCAATCAATTCTATTATTATACTTAATGTCCATCTTTGCACGCCAAGCCGTGGGCAATTTGCGGACGGTGTGTCCGTTCATTGAGTTGTAATGAGTCTGGTGGTCGCGGCAAAACCAACAAATGACTCTCCAAAATAATCGAATCTCGAAGGGAAGAGACACGCACAGTAGCTGAGTGGCGCGGTGAATAAATAAAATACACACAGAGGCTTCCGAATAAGTCACAAATCACGTCGGTCACGCCGAAAAAGCTGGCCGACGCATACCTAATTACCTGATTGAGCCTGACCAAAATCACGGTGCCATAACAGTAAGTTGAGGTTTCCGACTTCAATCTCCTCTGCTTCTGCCTCTCCAAATAATGTGATTTCTGCTTGTTTTCTTCTGCTATGCTTTGTGCACCGCGTCTAAATCGATTTTCTTTACGAATTGCACCGAGCTCGCAACAGGAAGAAACGGATCGCTAGCCAAATTCAAATGACGAACACACAATCCATTAACTCCAATAATTAATCCAATAAAAAAAAACGTCTCTTCCCATATTGAAAGGAAGACAGATTCGAAAATTCATTATTAAAATTTGTAAAAATGCCTGTTCAAATGAAATTTTTGATACTGAGAAAAGCGAATTTTTAATTGCAATTAAAATGGAACATAAACCTCTAAGTGAAAGGAAGTTTTGCTTACAAATGACAAGAATTTATAAGGTTTTTAGGTCTTACACTGAATTACTTTATTATTTCTTACAAAAGCTTATTGTTAAAATTCAGATTTTTTTATTCTTCCAAAGGCGTTTAAGAAGCTTGCAAGTTTATTGTTACAAAAATTAATATAATATCAAGGTTTTTTAGAATGAAAGTAACTTTTTTTTTAAATAAAAACAATTATAAAATAATAAAACTTGAAAATATTTAAAATAAAAATTAATTTTAAATCTTTAATACGTGTTTAATTTAAATAACTTCAGCCTACCCGTTTCTTTCAGTTTTCTTTTTTCCCCAAATTAATCTATGAATTGGTCCGCGTCTTACAATTTGGTATGTGCATTATTGAATCGCGCTCTGTCTGGTTTTGTATCATCCGCAGCTTTGCAGCTCATTTTCATCGTATCGCGGTCGCGCATTAAAGCGTCCATCCTGTTTCACACAGAGTCTGTGATTCGGACCCTTGGCTTAGTCTTTTTGCTCTGCAGGACCCCGGCCTGCGCTGTTCATCCTCTGCCTGTGTGAAACTGTGAATCACGTGTGTTTTTTTCCCTTTTTCACCTTCGACGGGGACAAAAGTGTATTTAAACGCGCATTATTCGTCGGCGCGGCACCCCGAAAAACCCTTTTTCTTTGTCTAATTAAATTCGGTGTATCACCACAGACGAGACGTGCCGTTGATCAAAGGGAAATAAAAAGTTTCGTGAGTATAAAAAGTTCTGCCGGCGGAAGGAGAAAAAGAGAAAAGCCGTCTGCCCTTGAGAAGGTGATTTTTAAAATGCGGTGATGAGAGAGCGCAGCAATTTTGCGCAAAATTAATCGCATTATTTATTAACTTATTTCAAAACTGATTTGCCTTGAAAATTGTAATAAAGAATGTTTAAAATGACTTGTTAGAATGTATGAAAACTTCAAAATAAAAAAATGCAGAAAACAAGAAAATTCTTATTGCTTGGATTTTGGTGAAGTCAATTAATTTTAGGAGCATTAGATGCTGTAATTTATTTTTATTTTGTTTCTTCTAATATGCAAAAGCTTAATTAATGTTTAGTTTATTAATTTAGTTTCTTAAATCAGGCTTTAAAATTCGGGCTAGAATTATTAGTAAATAAAAATTAATCTCCGTTTTGGTAATTGAATTAGGACTACGCCTTCATTCGGTTTCTAATTTCCGCCCTCGGAAACTGTTGAACGACACCGGTAGATTCTCAATTCGCAAAGGGGGGACCAGGCAGTTGTGCGCGACCCCCTAATGGGTTTGGTGCGATATTTCTATTTTTTTTTGCACACGCAACACATGAAAAGCTTCTCTCGTTTTCCTGTCCCGGGTCGCGCAGTAATAATAATTACAGTAATAATTTAATCTGGGCGCTGCAATTTAATATTTCACGCTTGGAAATCCGCCTAAAAGAGAGAAGAGCTACTGAAATTACAACTGGCTGATGTTGTTTTAAACGGGCAGCAAATAACACCACAGCTGCTCTCTCGCTTATTCTCTTTTACAAAAGTTTAAAACACACACACCTGTGTGCGACCTTTATTTCTTTTTTCCTCAGCCGACGTCGGTGCGAGATATATATGGATTTCACATTATATTCGATATAAAAGTGAAGAAAAGAAAAGGCTCGGCAGAAAAGATCTCGCGTTTCTCGGAT